TTAACAGATGAGTAAATTTCTCGGCATGGATCTCTTCTGTTTTTTCAAACTTATTGGTTTCCTCCTAAGAAGTGCCAACAGTTAACATTTAGGTGGCAGATTAGATTCTGTCTAGAAGTGTAAGCAGGCTGCCTCCATCACAGAGGGTTTTATTTATTTATTTATTGAGACAAGGTCTCCCTTTGTCTCCCAGACTGGAGTACAGTAGTGTGATCTCGGCTCACTGCAATTTCTGCCTCCTGGGCTTAAGTGATCCTCCCACCTCAGCCTCCCAAGTAACTGGGACTGCAGGTGCAGGCCACCATGCCTGGCTAATTTTTGTTTTTTTATTTTTTAAGAGACGGGGTTCTTGCCATGTTGCCCAGGCTGATCTCAAATTCCTGAGCTCAAGTGATCAGGCCGCCTAGGCCTCCCAAAGCACTGGGATTACAGGCTTGAGCCACTGCACCTGGCCCACAGAGGGGTTTAGAAATAGGAAGAAATATCTTACATTCCATTGTACAGTGGCAAAGGGGTCTCACAGTAACAATGCTACCACAGAAGAGTGGGCTTTTTGTTTTGTTTTGTTTTGTTTTGGAGACAGGGTCTTGCTCTGTTGCTCAGGCTGGAGTGCAGTGGTGCCATCATAGCTTACTGTAGCCTTGAGCTCCTTGGCTCAAGTGATCCCCCTGCCTCAGCCTCCAGAGTAGCTGAGACTACAGGTGCATACCACCACACCTTGCTAATTTTTAAAATTTTGTAGAGATGGGATCTTGCTATGTTGCCCAGGCTGGTCTTAAATTCCTGGGCTCAAGCAGTCCTCCTACCTTGGCTTTCCAAAGTGCTGGGACTACAGGCATGATCTCCTACTGCTGGCCCATGTTTCTTGATTGGCGATACCACCACTAGGAAGAAAGCCACATTGTGGTTTTTCGGAACATCCAGAGATTTGAGGGTGAGGTCCCACATCTCTTTGCCTTTGGGCTGATTACCCCTTTGCTGGCTCAGGCTGAGCGTGAAATGTTGTATTTCTAGAGAGGAACACTTTACCCTTCCTCATTGCCTGGCCCACCCTGGGTTCCGCTTGCCAATATTTATACCCACTTCCTGACTCAGAGCAAAACATTTAGTGAATTCTATAAAACTGTGGCTTTTACCAGGTCATTTTGAGCCCAGTGCGTCCTCTGAGTTCTTGTGGATAATGCAAGAGCCCACGCCCGAGTTAAGGTCTGGCCATAGACACAAGCCTGCCTGTCTCTGTCTCTCAACTGGGAGTCTCAATCATTTTCCACTTGGGAGCTGACCCTTGGTCACAGTCTGTCCATGGAAGTTTCTGAGTCCTGGGCAAGAGACACGTGGTAGGGTGTGTGCTGCTCTCATTTCGTGTGATGATCTGAAGCACTTGGTGGCTCACTCTTGTGCAGGACTATTATTTGTTTTCTAAACCGTGACATATTTCCTGGATTGATGTGCATCAAAATAACACATTTAGATGAGAAGGTTAGCTACACATAGTTGTAATATGCAAATATGAGTTCATGTGCAGAAAATTTCTCCTATATGTAACATTACTTTTTCTCATAGTTTATAATGAAATCCTTTTTACCATAAATGAAATTGGTAGTCACCTGCTTCCATCTCTGCAGAGTGAATATCCCACATAGAATCTTGGCTTTCCTGTGTCTTTATCTTAAATCATTTACTTTCATCTGATTTGGTTTTAATTTAAAAGTTCTTTGGGGATGGGAACAGACAGACTGCAGAATGGTAGAAAATGCAGATTATGAAGAATTAAACATACTATTTTCCCACTTTCAGCTATTCGTAGCTCTCAGTGGAAGTAGAAGGAAAAAATAATTCTGAAAAATGAAAGAAATAGTATCTGTGTGCATGTGTGTATGCTTTTCATAAGTTGTAAACCTATGATACTGGTAGGGGCTGGTGTAAGAAAAATGTGGGTTTCTGGGGAAATGATTTGGACCAGTGGTTCTCAAAGTCAGTTCTAGACCCAATAGTGGTAATGTGTGGGCATTGGTGAGAAATGAAAATTCTTGGACTTATCCTTGAGTCTACTGAGTTAGAAACTCTGGGATGAGGCCCAGAAGTCTCCAGATAATTCTGACGTATGCATCAGTTTGGGAGACATTGATTGAGATAATATGATGATGTTTTTCACATGTGAAGTTGGATTGAATATTTAAGCAACTGTAAGAAACAGTTCCACCTGCTATGACAATACATTTTTAGAAAAGCTAGAACTGGTATATCAGAAATCTGTAACCAGCAGACAAAATCCATTCTCCTAAGAAAAAAGCACTAGTCATTTGGTGGTTAGAGCAATGATGACCAAACACAGCACAGATTTAGTATGTAGTATTTCAAGAATTAATCATCCTTCATTAATCATGGGAGAGGGATGAAACGTCTAACTTGGCATATAAAAAATAAAGATGTAAAACTGAGTGGAGTATACTTTATTCTGCAAGAATTAAAAAGCATTAGTTTTGTACTGGAAGCACCTTCACACACAAGCATCTGTCTTTTAAGCAATGATTTATAAACATGGCTCAGAAGCACTGAAAAAAGCAATTGCAAGGATTCTGAAATTCCTCATCACATTTCATTCCAAGTTTTGTGTGTAGTTTTCTGGAATCAGTTACTGGATTGATTGTCCCAACAAACCAAAAGATGTGACATCACCAAATTCAGCTTTTGATAAATAGGGTAAGTTGGAAGTTATATAAAGAAGAAACATAATTTATGTATACATGCATATGTTTATGTAAATTCGTTCAAGTAGAAAAATCCTTAAGTGGCATCTGTGAAAGCCAAAATTGTAGTTTTAAATCTTCCCTTTCCTCCCTCTTATTGCAAAAACAAAGACCAAGACCAAAATGAGTATTAACTGTGGCTACTCACTAGGTTTAAATCTCTGTAACGTGGCAAGAATGTTTGCTACATTAAGGTTTAGTAAGAATTTCTTAAATTCATGGGACTACTGGGTACACGTTTTTAAAGAAATAAATGGCCTGAGTGTAACAGTAAGCCATCTGAAAGACTTTGGTGGCGTTTTATTACTCTGCCCTGTGTTGTAAGCATAAAGTTCAATGTGAAATCAATTCTGGGGCCTGGCATTATCTATCTCATGTACATTGCTAATCTTCTCTGCTCTCCACAGCCCAGCTCCTCACTTTTCAGCATCTCAGCAGGGCCCACATCTCTGGATGAGGAGACAATGAACATAGAGCTTTTTCTTTATCAGAGAAAAGTTTGCTGAATCCGCCTCTATTATTCTTGCATAATAATAGGCAGATGGAAGAACTTTTTGGAAAAAATTGCAATGATCCACAGTCTTGTGTTCATACAGAGTTTTGGTACCAGATAGATGGTGTGTGTGTGTATGTGTGTGCACACACGTGTGTGGGTATGGAGAGTCATCGCACAAAATAACCAAATAAATGAGACTCATTAATTAGTATGAGACTACAAAATCCAATATGAAAATATCTCATCTATTTCAAAACAGTTGACGGAAATGGGTCAGAATAACTGGATAATTATTCTGTTAATGGGATAATTATTCTATATTTAAAAAGTGAAAATAAATAAATCTTGGAAAAAGCACTATCGCCATTATCAATTTCTCACTTCTAATTTTTCCCAACAATCTGAATATTTTTAAGAACAATTAGGTAAAATTCTAGGACACTCTTTTGTTACATTTATTCTAAGTTGGATATTCTTATTTTTATACACCACAACTTAAAATGGTCTGGATTTTACAATGTTATCACTCCTTATCTTTTTCTGAACATTCATTTCTTTGAAGCTGGAATGGTTAAAATGAGTTCAGATTTGCTGCTTGAGTTATACGGCGTCTCAGATCCCTAGTATGCAAATCTATGACTGTAAACTATAAGGGTCTGCAGCAAAAGACCTAGGAAAATATAAATGCCTTATATCCACTCATCCTGCATGTCAGATATCTTTTGGAGGTGAATACAAAACATGTGCCTACAAAAGTGAACTATTACTAAAAAGGTAGGGCCAGCAGTTTTCTGTAGAAGGGGCACACGCTATCTTTCCATTGTGCATGGAATATCCCCTCGTTGTGACCTCTCTGTGTATCTGAGGCCACCTGAGGGCCTCAGTGACTCCTCCTGGTAATGACTCTCAGCAAGGTGGGAAAAGAATCTCCAGGAACAGAGGGTCTTCTCCAGGTGCCAGCTGGTGGGGCCACTAGGATGCTCTCAGGAGGAAGTGTGAGCCCCAGTGCCCATCTTCCCTTGGCCAAGGCCAGGGAGACGTCCCACTTGTGCACGGCTGCAGCCTGGGGAGTTCAGCCTGCTCAGAAAATTGCCGTGAGGGTTTCTCTAGTAGACATGGTCAGGTTTGGGGATATTGACCTATCCCAGCCCCATCTTAAATCCCAGCTCAGCAGAAGCCATGACAAGAGCAATCTGGCATCACTGAACAGCCGGCTCATTTCAAACCCCATTCTCAACTCACGACCCGAATCAGCTGTGCACGCCTCAGATCTAGGCAGAAATAGGCTAAATTCTCATTTCAGAAGGGAAACCCCCACAGTTCCTGGGCTGGCAATCATTATGCGTGGAAACATGAAAACTCTACGTAGTCCCAGAATTCTCACTTTGAGAAATTCAGCCATGAATTACAGTTTCTAAAGATTTCACAGAAAACTTTTTTTTTTTTTTAAATCAAGCTTCTGACTAAATGTCTTTGCTTAATGTTAAAAGTAAAACTAATCAAGACTAGTCAAACTAGATACTTAACATGAAAGTATCTAACGCTTTGTGGGCACTGATCAGTGTAATGAAAATACCCTGCCCTGTGTCCAAGGTATATTTGTAAAATACACAAATGTAGTAATAAAATATTTGAAGATAGAAACACTGAAAACATGCTAAGTACCTAGTATTCCTCCCACCCCAGGAATATATATTTTTCAACAGTTAAAAAAAGTTGGTGCTGTGGATTAGTGGTTATTTTTCTTCTGCCTCTTATAAACAAATTTGCTGCATTTCTGGTGGAAGCTTAGCTGTCTGTGTTTACTAATTTAGATCTGGGTAGTTATTTCTTGAGCATCACCTAGCATCAGAACACGGCTTATTACAACTATGTTATTGTCACTTTTAAAGAATCAGCTTTGGAGAAATCCTAATTTTCACGATTAAGAACTACTAAAATCAGACAGAATGGGGGAACTTGGCCACTCCAGAATGTCATTGTCAGTCCTGTGATGCTCCTTCTCTCATGTTCAACGGAAACAATGAATTCCTAACTAATGTATTCTAGGACAGGTGGAGTTCTAGAATTCTATGACAGGATGATAGGCCTAAAGTCCCTTCAAGATTTACAGGGGACCCACAGCTGGCCACTTCATTCTCATAATCTGCCACACATACGCCAGCTTTCCAGGTGAGGCAACGCAGAAACAGCAGGTGGCAAATACCTGGACACATAGTGACTGCAAACATTTTACCTTGCATCCATTCTCCTCAACGAAAAACACACAGCCTTCCAGGGGAGAAAGTAATGCACTCTGCTCTGGGAAGGATAGAGAACAGAGAAGTTTATTTTACACTATCCGTCCAAGAAAACAATCGCCATAAACCAGTGCAAAATGTGCAACAGAATCAATAAGTGTGTCTTAGCTCTGAGAGCCCAAATTGGTGATGTCTTCTCCTGTTCCTCAGTTGGGCACGTGCCCCGTTCGTTAATGCTGGCTCGCATCATAGACAGAAACATTCAACCAATTTGTAGCAGGTTATTTTTTACAAATTCATACCAGAATGTGTACAAGGGACAGGGAAAACCATACCGAATGAATGATAAGTGATCAGTGCTTAAAGTAAATACAAGGGACAGCACGGGCAAGAATCCACAGTTTCAATAAATACAAGTGAACAAGCATGGGTGTGTCTTGACTGGGTGGAATTAGTCTGCGTAATAATTCAGCATCATACAAAATCTAGCAGGGCTGTTGAGCGGTGATTGGCAAAAACGTTCACAATAACTTACGCCCTTGAGCGAGTCTGCATGTAACACATTCTGTGGTTTCAAAGGTGTCAGTTCTCTGTTTGCTTCTTCCCTGGCCATCCCTCCAGGAAGGGAGGGGTGCAGCTGGGCCGGCTTGGCGGAGGCGCCCCGTGAGGAAGGACGTTTGCCCAAGAGCCAGCGGTCAGGGTCCAGTGTACTCAATACCAAGTGGCAAACTGGGACTTAATTGACGACGTCTGTGCAAAGTGCGCTTCTCTCCATTTTCCAAGAAACCAGTGTCTGTAACTCCTGCATGAAAAGCAGTGGTGGCCTCTGGGTCACTCCCTGTCACCCCAAATGCCAAACAACAAGAGCGCATCTCAGGGACTCACAAGTCGGGGAAGCTTCTGTTGTTGACTGCCTGGCACCTCATGGATGGGTAGTTTAACTAGGGCCCCCTTGTCCAAGGCAGGCTAGAACTATTGCTTGAAAACTAGAAAGAACCTAGTGAGAAAGAGATGGTGATGATGGACATGAGGGAAGTTGTCTTCTTCCTCCAATTGTGCCCCCCAACCCCAGGGGACGCCCATAAGACTTTAGCAAGGCGTCCTTGGCTATAAAATGTCATGCATTTGTTCTCGGTGGCCTTGCCCAGTGGCTCCTCTAAAAAGCTCTACATCCATGCATAGTCCAACACGTCTGGGATGCAAGCCCAGACAACACGGCAGGTGCAACCTTTGGGTCATTGATTAATCCGGAGCCCAGTGGAAGAAGATGCAAGAGAAGTTCTTGATCTCTGGAAGAAAAGGAGTAAAAGGGGAAGGCCCCCAAAAGAAAACAATCCCCCCAAATCCAGTAACCTAGGCATCATCTCCAAACCAAACAAAATCCCAAACACTCTCTGTAATCAACGGGCCCCCTCCTCTCTATTTCTTCAACAGTCTCAGGTCACAAACTAGGTGAGTCTTCCATCAAATAACTTAAAAAAGGAGGAGGGATTGGAATCAGTGTTGCCTGGCTCGGGCCAGTTAGCAGCCAGTTTTTCTAGAATCTCAGTCACCGTTCCAAAATGGAGCTGGAAAAGTCATGTGGATGTTGGATGTCTTCACACAGAGGAGGCAGGAAAGGGTGGGTAGGCATGACCCTAGGATTGGGGAAGTGACGATGGGGCAGGGGAGAGCCTGGGCCACCAAAACAGGAGTGGAGGCCTGAGGACAGCACAGGAGAGACGAACGCCGTGGCCCCGGGGTCCTGTGTGACTCGGGGTGCGGCCAGGTCTCGTATTGCACAGAAAAGAAGGAACTGAGCCTCTGCGGGCACCCAGCAGCTCAGTGGTCCCCGCACATGGGCAGGTTCACGAAGGTGAACACGTTGAACTCAGTCATGATGGAGAAGCACAGGAACACGCCATACAGGAGGAGGCACCCACAGCCCAGCTTCTTGTCCAGCTGCCACTTGTTCAGGTGGACGCCGAACACCTGCAGGGCACAGAACAGGTTCAGAGGGCACCAGGAGGAGGCAGCAGCCTCTGGGGGGTTGGTAGGGGAACCCAGGGGACCCAGGGAAGGGCTGCTGTCTGTGGGCCTCGGGCAAGGTTCTGATCCTCTTTGAGCCTGCAAAATCCACCTCTCGTCTTGGACTGTGGGAGGTGAAAACATCAACATCAGGAAGAAAGGAAGCCAGAAGCTTCTGGTTGTAGAAAAATAACTAAAACAAATGGCAGGACTCACAAGCACATCCCAGCAGCCAACCCTCTTCCATGGAGCTCCAACACCACACCCCTGTGGGCCCTTCATCTGTTCTGGGCCTTCCCCATCTTGCTCTAAGCAGACCCCTGCTCCCCTGGGCACACTGATCCCTCAGTCCTCAGGCGGCGGCGGCTGCATCTCTTCCCATGGCTGTTCTGGAGGTGAGGAAGTTGCTCCCTCCCCACAGCTCCTCACGGCTGCTTCCAGACCATTTTCCTTCTCTCCTCCCTAAAAACACTGAGCCTGGAATCTTGGTTCTTCCCACAGTTCCTCTTGGTTCCTCCTGTTGCAGCCAACAATGTAACCCCGGCCACTGCCCATCCTTGAAGCTTTCTGCCCCAGCTCTTGCCAATCTCCTCTGTACTCCTGCTGACTTTCTCTGTGATTTCAATGCCCCCGGAGAGGAGAGGGTCTTTCCAACACCCTGCCCCATCAAGTCCTCATCCTTCATCTGGCCTCAGCCACTCACACCCAACAGCCCATGTGCTACCCAAATATAAATGAAATAAAATTAAAACACAGCTCCACATTTCAAGTGCTACAGCCAACCGTAGCCGGGGGTACTTTCCGGCCCAGGTGCAGGCCATTTCACTGCAGAAAGGTCTGCTGGGTGGCACTGGGGCCTAGATGTTGCTATTGGCACTGACAGAAGCATCTGTGTTATCTTAGCGTCACACATCCCACTTTCTGACTCCAATCTCTTCCTTTCTAGTTTACTCCTCCCGATTCCCCAGCTCCCACAACTCTGCAAATGTCCATAGTGCACACCTCATTGATACCATCACCAATTCTCTACACTTCACCCACTTTGCCCCTTTCCTTCTCTCCTTCTTCTGCTTCAATTCCACCCACACTCGCTAGAGTCCTCCGGGGCATCCACTCTGATTCCCTGGCCTCTCTCTTGCTCGGTTGTCCTTGCTTGGCTAAGCCACAGCCCTCCAGTTCAAGCCAGGTCCCAATCTGGTTCATGCCGCATCCATGCAGCTGACCATCAGGGCTGGAGGAAGTCGGCCAGCCATGCTGATGGGTCTTATTTTAAAAATCGAGACCACTGACATTAAGTGGGTCATTCATGCTTTTCAGCAGGCATCTCATCCTTCCCTAGTCCCTTGTCTCTCCCTTCCCCAGATGGCTACTTCACACCTCTCCCCTCTCTTCCAATCTCCGACACTTGCTTCCCCGTCCTCACTTATTCCCATGGCACAGAGCTCCCAACCCCACCTCCCTGCCTTCTCTCCTGGCAGTGAGCTCAACTCCACCCTGCATGCCCCAGATCCCATCTCCCACCCTGCTTAAGGACCTGGTTCCAGCAACTCCCTCTCTTCTAGCCACATGCCCCAGCTCCAACCCTGGGTTATTCTAATTGGCATACAAAGATTCTGTTATCTCACTCATCTTAAAATAACACTTTTTTCTGAATTTCCATTTTTCTCCTTTCTTTACAGTCAGATAACATGAAAGAGTTGTGAATGTCTGCTCACAGTCTCCAGTCTCACTCCTTCCATTCTTTATTAACTTATTCCACTCAGCTGCACAGCACTACCCTCTCATTAGCACCAACGGTTTTGCATTGCTAACTCCAATGACCAGTGCTCAGGGCTCCTCTCCCTGACTCAGCCGATAGCTCCCTCCACCTGGAAAACCCTCCAGTAGGTGGCTTCCAGGACCCCGCACTCTCCTGGTTTTATTCCTGCATCTCCAAACTGTCCCTTCTCTGTTTCTTTTGGTGTTTCTTCCTTATCAACCTGACCTGTGAGTGTCAGACTGCCTCAACACTGAGATCTTGGGCCTCTTCTCTCTTTTGTGTGCACTCACTCCCTTGGTGATCTCTCCCAACTGTAGGGCTTTAAATACCATCTACACTATGGTGTCTCCAGACTGAACATCTCTCGTGAACTTAGGCTTATATTTCCAATGGCTTTCTTGACCTCTTCCCCTGGATGTCAAACAGGCATTGCAAACTTAAGATGTTTAAAATTGCTTTTCCTCCCCAAAACTTGCCTCTCTTCAGCATTTTGGCAACCTCATTTTGACAGCCCAGTTAGTGGTTAGCCAGGTCTCCTGTGGATGGTATAACTATAGCATAGCCTAAAAAGTCACACGGTAGCTATGAGTGTGCACCCTGGTGTCAGCTGGCTTGTTCCTCCATTCACTCGGTGTCAATAAAAACAAGTCAATTAGTTTCTCTCGGCCTCAGTCGCTCATCTGTATAATAGACTGACATTGGTGATACCTCATGGGGGGCATGATGAGCTCCAAATGGGAAAATATGTATACAAAACATTAAGTATACGGTGTGTGGCTACTACAACTGTCACCACTCCACGTCATAGAAGAACTGCAGGACCTCCTAAACCATAAGAGCACGAATGATGTCGATTTTCACTTTTGCATAAGGCAGTATTTGCTTTGGTGAAATCTTGACATTCAATTCACACCCTGATCCTATAAACTACTTATCTTGCTTCCTGCCTGTCCTTCTGAATTCCCATTCTCTGGCATATTTATGCTAACAACATGCCAGGTATAACTCAACGACTATTTCCTTGAAAAATTAAGAAAAAAACATATTGTGTCTCAATGCTTGTTAATGCCAACAGCATATTTGTATGTTAATGGATGCTTCATGTAGATGAGTCTATGCGTTGGTGTGAACTTGTTCCAAACACATCAGTTGAATTGGGAATATTAAAGTACACAAGTGGGCGTAATGACTGAGACAGCAGTGGAATGGCCTCAAAATGTACTGTCAATAAAATATATTTTTAGTTTCCAAGTATTAGTCAAATTCATGGATTCATGTGGAAACCTGGAACAATCAATGAATTGGAATCTACCTTTCCAAGACTAATATTGCAGACAAAGTGGGATCTTCTCTTTGCATTTGGGAAAACAGTATGTGTTCTACTTAAGATAGGGTCATGCCTTTGAGAGGAAGGCCGGCTTCTTTCAGAAAGGGAGAAGGTGTTCTAGTGGGTTGCTAGCACTCACTTCTAGAAGAAAGAGTCAGGAGATGGGACACGGTGGTTGCTTGTCTCCAGTCACCAGGAGGCCAAGCTCATCTGGTCTCCAAAGAACCCAAGGGGAGGAAAGAACAGGCAAACACAAGTACGAGGAGAGAGCTGCCAACTTACCGTGACAAAAACAGAGGCCAGGAGCAAGCCCACAGAGTAGATCAGCCCCCTGCTATTCAGCCGGATCTGTAGGAGAGGGTTAGAGTTAGGCTTCTGACAAGCTAGGCCTCCAAAGCAGAGTTAGGCTTTGGAAAGGGCATCTGCCCACACAACTCTGAGTAGCAGGGATTCCACGTCTCCCCTCTAGAATGAAAAACCAACAGACAGCTTCAGCAGCCAGCTCCGCAGCTTACACTTGAGACGTGTGCTCTTCTGGAAACCCAAGGCTTGTCTTTGTCTTGTCCACTCTCAGTCCCATCCTGGCCTTACCCTCAACAGCAGGGTCCTGGCTGGAGTGCCCCACGGCCACCTGAACTCTCCATCTGGGACTGTGAGATTCTTGTGGCCCACAACATATCCCTGTCCACATGTTCCTTTACCTCCGGGGAACTTTTGCTTTCTCAAACCTGTACTGCTTTTAGGATGAATTTCACGACATGGGCAATGGAAAAATATGAGTAAACTTTTCATCTCTTTTGCACCAAAATGTCTCTGTCCTTACCCTAACTTGATGGGAAGAAGTGGAGGAGGGTTGCTGTTGTGGGCAAACAAAACAGAAGAAAAAGTTAAAATTCCATTTCTGATGTTAGTAAAGGGATTTTGAGAGGTTTGTTTTTCACACAGTGGGGAAAACAGCCAATGAAGGGAAAGAGAGAAACATATTTGGAGTTCCTTCTTTTTTTTTGAGACACAGTTTCACTTTGTTACCCAAGCTAGGGCGCAGAGGTGTGATCTTGGTTCACTACAGCCTCAACCTCCCAGCCACAAGTGATCCTCCCACCTCAGTCTCCTGAGGACTACAGGCACACACCATCACACCTAGCTAATTTTTGACTTTTTGGTAGCGGCTAGGTCTCACTATGTTGCCCAGGCTGGTCTTGAACTCCTGGAAGCAAGTGATCCTCCCACCTTGGCCTCTCAAAGTGCCCATTACAAGCATCCCAAAGTGCTCTCAAAGTTTCCAGCCTTGGAGTTTCTATAGAATAGCACTGACCAGCAGAACTTTCTGTGGTGATGGAAATGTTCTATATCTGTGCTCTCCAACGTGGGAGCCAGTGGCTGTTGGGCATTTGAAATGTGGCTCATGCAACTGAAAAAAAAAAAAAAGCAGTTTTAATCTCATCCTTAACCAAATTTACATTTAAAGAGCCACATGTGACTGTGGCTACAATATCAAGCAGAGCAGGTAGAGAGTACTGGAGTGCTGACTTGGCTGACAAAGGTCAAATAGTTTCTTTCATGATATAGAGAAGACAGTGCTTCTGCCTTTGACCAAAGTCACGAGGCCGGCTGCCCCAAAATAGAAGAGATTCCTTAGAGCAGTGGTTCTCAGAGGGTGGTTTTGGGGCCAGGAGCAGCAGCAGCAGCATGCGGGAACTTGCTAGAAATGCAGGATCTCAGGCCCCACCCAAAACTCCTGAATCAGAAACGCTGGGGCAGGGCCTATGAATCTGTGTTTTAACTCCAGGTGATTCTGATGCACAGGAAAGTTTAAGAACCACTGATTTAGAGAAAGTATAAAGCTCAGATCCACTTCTTCTGGTCTCCAAGGGTTCTGGGGAAGGGATCTTGATATTCATCTTTCACATGCTCTCTTGGAAATGCTTGTGTGCATTCGGGTTTGAGGACTATAGGCCCCAACCAATGTACACTATCCTGCAGGGAGTGAAAAGCTTCTCTGTGTTCATGGGAAGGGAAAGTGAGGCTGGCTGATTTCTGCATTGTTTTCGTTAAACAACTAAGTGGTGATTATCCAGTAAGAGTGGTTCTGGGCCCTTCTGACACGGTTTAAGGTACCTCGTGCCATGACAGCAGCAGTTCACTACTGGAGTGTGCATACGGGAAGGTGTCTCCATAGGTGGGCGTGTCAGGTTTATTTTCTGACAGGACAGAAAATATGGACACCATATGCCCTAAACAGCCAACCCTTTCTGTGAAGATGTGACTTAGGGATGTCCTGTCACGGAGGGATTGAGCTGGACTCTTTCTCCAGTGATCTGCAATCCCTGCGAGTCAACCATTTGCTGGCCCCCAGCTGGAACATGCTTCCCCGCCACCAAATGCCTTCCCGAGAATAAGGAAAGGCTCAAGTCATAGCTCTATGACACCAGAGCAATGGCTTAACCTGGTTAATTCAGTGTGGAGAAATGGCAGATTGGCCCCATCGCAGTCCAGCTGGTGGCTTAACTTCATGCACACACTCAACCTGACTGTGGGTAGACTGTCCTACTTTCATCAGCTGGGTTGGTGTAAAGAGGCCAACACACAGGACTGCGTCACAAATGTGTTGTATTGAAGGCGATTTTCTTCCTCCAAGTATTCTGTCGACACTGACTATGATAATCCCCTGTGTTCTGGTCACTGTTGAAGGGGAGAGGTGGGCTCCTCACAGCAAGATGGCAACCCCTAGGGGAGAGGAAGAGGCTCTTGGAGCTATCCTCAGTCACCCTTGGGTAGATGTAAAACTAGATAAACACTCAGGAATCCTTTTGAGCTCTTCACTTTCAGCACTGCACACACAGATGCCTTCTATGAGGGGCAATGCATTTCCAGCACGGCTTGCCCTCTGAGCTCCAGGGTCAAATCCTTGTCAGCAACAAGAACTTAGTAAAGTGATTTTATGCCCTTAAGAAACCAAGAGAGTGAAGCTCCTAGCAGGAAAATTCTCTTTGGCCAAACATTTTCAAAAGGAATCCTGTTAAACCAAAGTTTTTCAACTTTACTCTTCCTGTGTTCACATGAAATCTCGAACAGTGTGGCTGAAATTCTAAATTTGGCTCCAGAGGCCAAAGGCAACTCACTATTTTGTGGAGTTTCTATGTGTTTTGAACTTCTCACCTTTTTCTCTATAGCCTTCCTTTGGTCATGAACTGCTACACGCACCCAGGGGTGTATTTCTGTGTTTTCATTGTTGGAGACCTGCGCTCTCAAAGCCTGTATTTATTCCTTGCTGTCTGACCCTTGTACTTCCACAAGGATGTGACAGGCAGGAATGAGGGCTCTTTCAGCTGCCTTCTGGCCCAGCTCGAACATCTCCCGGCTGCTGCAGCTATGGATGGTTTGGGGCAGGAGTCATGGCCTCTTTTTGTTTTTCTTAGAGACTGGGTCTCATTGTGTTGTCCAGGCTGGAGTGCAGAGGTGAAATCATAGCTCACTATAGCTTTGAACTCCTGTGCCCAAGTAATCCTCCCGCCTCAGCCTCCCAAGTAGCTGGGACTATAGGCACACACCACTACGCCCAGTTCATTTGCTGTTGTTGTTGTTGTTGTTTGTAAAGATAGGATCTTGCTATGTTGCTCAGGCTGGTCTCAAACTCCTGGCCTCAAGCAATCCTCCAGCATTGGCCTCCCAAAGTGCTGGGATTACAAGCATGAGCCACTGCATCCGGCTCCAGCCTGTCTTTGTAAACACAATTTTATTGGAACTCAGTTCATTCATTTATGTGTCATCAATGGCTATTTCCACATGACAGCAGCTGAGCTGAGTGGTTTTGATGGAGACAGTATGATCCACAGGGCTTAAAATATTTCCTCTCTGGCCCCTTATAGAAAATGTTTGCAACCCTCTGATTTAAGGCATGGACTCCGGAGCTAACTTCCTGGGTTTTGAATCTCTGCTAGGTCACTCGCTTGCTGTATCATCGTGGACGGGTAACTGAACTTCCCTAAGCCCCAGTTTTTCAAAGTGTAAAATGGGGATAATACAGTTTCTGCTTTCTCGGTGCTTATGAGGTTGAACTGAATTAATCCATGTTAAAACGGTTGAAGAGGGTCTGGGGTGTAACACATTCTCAGTAACTGGGGGCTGGGTCCACTTCCTTGCACCCGAGGCTGCTTCTTTTCTAAACCTATCACTGAACAATAGCTTACTAGATTGCAGACACTGCAAGGGTAGGAACCATGTGTGACTTCACCCTCCACCTGGCACAGGGCTGGGCACAGACCACGTGCTTAAAACATAATTGATGAATGAATAATACATGTCCATGAGATCTCATTTTGAATATGCATTATAAGGAGGCCAGTGTTCTGTGGGGCAGCGGGGACTGGTCAGAGTGAGGTTGGAAGCAGAGAGACCCCAGATGCCATTCCCTGGATAATGTTCCAGAAGCAATGTGGTCTCTGCCCAATGTTCTCTCTCTCCCTTCCCCACTTTGCTTAATTTATTTTGAGTCTATGTAGTGTTTTTAAACCCAGCATGCTGCTATGAAAGTTTTCAAGCATTCAGGAAAGTTGCAAGAATTATACCATCTTTTTTTTTCTTTTTAAAAAAGCAGGGCATGTCCACATGTGCTTGTGGGGACTTCAAAGTAAACTGCAGAGACCAGGCCATTTCACCCCTGAGCACTCCTGTCTGCATCTCATTAAGTAGAGTTCATTCACAGTTCATGGGTCTTTTATTCTTAGATGCCATTTTTATATAGTAAAATTCCCACAACAAAATTGTACCATTCAACAGGTTCTGAGAAACGCATACACCCATGCAACCCAAACTCTACCATGACACAGAACACTTCCGTCATTCCAGAAAGTTCTCGGGTGCCCTCCTGCAAACCTCGCCCGAGGCAGGCACTGCCCTGTTTCTTCACCACAGGGCAGTTCAGCCTGTCCTAGAGCTTCATAGCAACAGAATCCTGCAGCATGGACTCTTTTATGTCCGCATCATTTTAAAAGACTCTTTCAATGTTTTCATTGCATCAACAGCTCATTTATTTTTACAGCAGTGTAAATATGCCATGGTGTGTTTAATTATGCTCCTGTTGATGGACATCTGGACTGCTTCCAATTTTGGGCTATTAATGTATATTACTTTTATAACTCAAAAACAAAATGAAAAGAGGCCTGTAGAGCTCCTCCTTCCTGAGAGGCTAGCCATTAAGGAAGATGCGAGGAGGGTCAGGAGCTCTGTTAAGGACCTCATGTCACTATCTCACATCCTAGCACCCCTTCTCTGTAGTTGGCACCTGAAGCACACTCCTGAACCCTCTTTGAGACTTTCGGTCTAGCTAGGTGGGGGTCTCACCTCCT